GAAATCCCATGACTCTGCCTTGTCCTCCCAGAGGAGGGGACACGGGGGTTTCATGTCCCAACATTCCCAGCTGGAGATGCCAGAGGGGAGCGGATGGGATGGGATTTTCTCCCAAAAACCCAGATCCAAGGAGTGCATCCATACTCCATCCCAAGTAAAAAATCCCCAAGATTTCATCAAAGCTCTACAGCAAAACCAACACAAATAAATCCCAGCTTTGGGCACTTTCCAGAGCAAGACCCCCAAAAAAATCCACATTTCCGCCTTGGAAAATGCTCCCAGCAGCTGCCACCCCTTCGCCCTTTCCCACCTTCCCTCCTGGAGTGGGATTTCGTTCCGTGCAGGAATTCGAGCCCGGCCCCTGCAGCCCCCCCGGCTCTCCCGGCCCCGTTATCCGTCTCGGAGCGCGGATCCATCGCCGCGGAGCGCGCTGATGGAGAGGCGCTGCCATTCCCGCTGTCTTTTCTTCCCGGCCCCCGGCTCCCCGGATTACTTTTTGATGAAAAGCCACATTCCCACATTTCAAACCCGAGCGAGGCCCGGAGCTCGCATCTATCTCCCCGCCGAGCGCCGGGAAGCTCCATCACCCCGACGGGAGAAGATCCCGCTCCTGGTGGGACACGGAACCGGCTGCCCAGGGGGACACGAGGGGACACGGCCGGTGGCCAGCGGGGCTCTGAGGGGCAGGAGCTCGGCGCTTCCCAGCGGGACACGGCGGCAATCCCATGGGAAGGATTTGGGGGATCCCCTTCCTTGGGATCTGTCCCCTGGATGTCCCCAGGGCCTTGTCCCAGCGCCGCTTCCTGAGCCAAACGCGGGGACAAACAGAGCCAGGGGTGACATCAATGGCAGGGGGGTGACACCGATGCCAGGGGGTGACACTGACACTGGGGGTGACATCAATGGCAGGGGGGTGACACCGATGCCAGGGGGTGACACTGACACTGGGGGTGACATCAATGCCAGGGGGGTGACACCGATGCCAGGGGGGTGACATCAATGCCGGGGGGGGCACTGATGCCAGGGGGGTGACACTGACACTGAGGGTGTCACTGACACTGTGGGTGACACTGATACTGAGGGTGACACTGATGCTGGGGGTGACACCGATTCCAGGGGGGTGACACTGACACTGGGGGTGACACCAATGGCAGGGGGGTGACACTGATGCCAGGGGGGTGACACTGACACTGGGGATGACACTGACACTGAGGGTGACACTGATGGCCGAGGTGGAAACACTGATGGCCAAGGGGTGACACCAATGCCGGGGAGGTGACACTGATGGCCGGGGCAGTGACACTGATGGCAAGGGGGTGACACTGATGGCCAAGATAGTGACACTGATGGCCAAGGCAGTGACATTGATGGCCGGGGATGACACCAATGCCGGGGAGGTGACACTGATGGCTGTGGTGGTGACACCAATGCCGGGGAGGTGACACTGATGGCCAAGGCAGTGACATTGATGGCCGGGGATGACACCAATGCCAGGGAGGTGACACTGATGGCTGCAGCGGTGACACCAATGCCGGGGAGGTGACACTGATGGCCAGGCGGTGACACCAATGCCAGGGAGGTGACACTGATGGCCAGGAGGTGACACCAATGCCGGGGAGGTGACACTGATGGCTGGGGAGGTGACACCAATGCCAGGGAGGTGACACTGATGGCCGGCTCAGTGACACCAATGCTGGGGAGGTGACACTGATGGCCGGGGCAGTGACACCAATGCCAGGGAGGTGACACTGATGGCCGAGGAGTGACACCAATGCTGGGGAGGTGACACTGATGGCCAGGAGGTGACACCAATGCTGGGGAGGTGACACTGATGGCCATGGCGGTGACACCAATGCTGGGGAGGTGACACTGATGGCCAGGGGGTGACACCAATGCCAGGGAGGTGACACTGATGGCCAGGAGGTGACACCAATGCCAGGGGGTGACACTGATGACCGAGGAGTGACACCAATGCCGGGGAGGTGACACTGATGGCCGGCTCAGTGACACCAATGCCAGGGGGTGACACTGATGGCTGCAGCGGTGACACCAATGCCAGGGAGGTGACACTGATGGCCAGGAGGTGACACCAATGCCAGGGAAGTGACACTGATGGCCACGGCGGTGACACTGATGGCCAGGGCGGTGACACTGATGGCCGGCTCAGTGACACCAATGCCAGGGAGGTGACCCAGATGACCGCGGCGGTGACACTGATGGCCAGGAGGTGACACCAATGCTGGGGAGGTGACACTGATGGCCGGCTCAGTGACACCAATGCCATGGCGGTGACACTGATGGCCGGCTCAGTGACACCAATGCCAGGGAGGTGACCCAGATGACCGCGGCGGTGACACCAACCCCTCCCCACGGCACAAGACCCCCCCACCCCGGCGCTCCCCTCACCTGCACAGGTGGTCGGCCCGGCAGGCGCCGCGCAGGTCCAGGCAGTTGGGCCTGTCCTTGTCCTCGTAGGAGCAGGAGGGGACGATGGTCTGGCGGCGGCGCTCGGCGCACGCCGTGTCCTTGCAGGAGCAGAAGAGCAGGCGGAAGGTGAACTCGCCGGGCACGCGGTCGAAGAACTGGCGCAGGGCCTTGTGGCACTTGCGGCGGCTGCAGGGCTCGGCGGCCGACAGCTCCCGGTTGCAGGTGGAGATGTAGGCCGAGCGCAGGCGCTTGCAGTTGTCGTTGAGGTTGCAGGCCTTGGCCGCGTCCAGGCAGTGGTTGCTCTTGGAGGCGGTGGCCGGGTCCATTCCTGCCCCGGGGACAGAGATGGTCGGTCGTAAAGTTGGGGAGGTGACGGCAAAGGTGGGAGATGGTTTGGGGTGTAGGAAGATGGGATTGAGGTGGGGGAAATGCTCTTGAGCCTCGGAGATGTCCTCAGAGGTGGGGAGATGTCCTCAAAAACACCCTTAACCTGGGACTGGGAGATGCCCTCAAAGCCGTGGAGATACCCTCAAAAAAAACCTTAACCTGGATTGGGAGATGCCCTCAAAGCCGGGGAGATGCCCTCAAAAACATCCTTAACCTGGGACTGGGAGATGCCCTCAAAGCCGAGGAGATGCCCTCAAAAACATCCTTAAGCTGGGACTGGGAGATGCCCTCAAAGCCAGGGAGATGCCCTCAAAAACATCCTTAACCTGGGATTGGGAGATGCCCTCAAAGCCAGGGAGATGCCCTTGAAAACACGCTTAACCTGGGACTGGGAGATGCCCTCAAAGCCGGGGAGATGTCCTCAAAAACATCCTTAACCTGGATTGGGAGATGCCCTCAAAGCCAGGGAGATGCCCTCAAAAACACCCTTAAGCTGGGATTGGAGATGCCCTCAAAGCCAGGGAATGACCTCAGAAACATCCTTAAGTTGAGACTGGGAGACTCCCTCAAAGCCAGGGAGATGCCCTCAAAAACATCCTTAACCTGGGACTGGGAGATGCTCTCAAAGCCGGAACGGGAAAACTCCCCTGAGTTGGGACTGGGAGATGCCCTCAAGGCCAGGGAGGTGCCATCAAAGCTGGGAAGATGCCCTCAAAAACACCCTTGAGCT